TAACCTATAGTTAGTTGCACATTGATAATTCTGAGGATGAACATTAGTAGCATATTTATAAAAAAAACCACATATTAGGATCATTAGGTAAAGAATACAACAAGTTTCCCACATATTGAGAAAAGGCTATCTGATATGATTCTGAAATTATCATCAAATGCTCATGTTCAACTTTTGTACGAGTGAAAGCTATGCTAATGAGATCCTGTCCTGTAAGATGTAAGGTTCGTTTATGACCTTTAATAATCAAATCCTCTAATGCTGATTGATAAGGATAAATGTTTCTAGGTGGAGTAACTGACAATCCATTCATGAATGTTGACCGCTTGCAGGGACGCATTAGAATAAAGATGTCCCGTGAGTAAGGGTGTAGTCGGAAGAATAGCTAAACAAAGTCCTATTGTTAAGGATGTTATCCTGTCCACATATCGATGCTTAAACTTATTCAATATTTCTTGAAGGCATGTTCTTTGAGGAACAGTTAATACAACTAGATCTCCTGGTGATTGTGCTCCCTTCAAAGACTGAAATAAGGGCAACATATCACCAATTGTAATGTAGAAGAATGGGCGTGCCCAATTAATAATGCCAAGTAATTTTTGCCATTGTACTAATGTATATGATTTCTGTACTTGTAATTCAGGAAGAATTGGAATGGAGGAATTATGCAACATTCTATGTTTCCCATTTTTCTTTTTTATAACAAAAACGGGAGTATTCCAAGGACTAGTAGAAGGTTCTATATGACCAGCAGCCAATTGTTCTTGAACCAATTGTTGTAAAGCAGTGAGTTTTTCCCTTGATAATGGCCATTGTTCCACCCAAACCAGCGTAGAACAGAGCCATTTAAGAGGAAGAGCCATCATCAAGAATCAAATGGGCATTAAGAATCTTCTGTATTAAAATATACCATTTGGATCCATTTTTAAAAAAATTTATACATGTTCACCAGCATGAAAAAACATACTTTCATGTTCACATTTCCAACATTAAATGGCTCTACACATTCCAGATAGTTTATTGGTGTCATGTGCAAACAGTACATCAATTTTATAAAAATTCCCTTTGAGATCATAACCCAATGTAAATTTCAACATTTTAACCAAATATTTTAACTACATTGATCCACCTACTATTATAATAAATTCTTAGCTTACTTTATCATATGTTAATCTGTTTGTCTCTGTTTCAAATTTCAATGAAAGTTTATATATGTTAGCAAATACAAGTTTATGTTGTAATTGTATTTCAAATTGTAATTTAGTTTGCTCCATACCCTAACTCTATAAATTTATCCCTTTTAAATTTCTGACATAACTAAATGAGAGAATCCTTGATTCTACTAATAATTGTTAGCTTGATTTGATTTCAATTTCCCCTTGATCATTTTCCAGTAGATCCTGGTATGTCAACCATTTGTCTTTATTTGCTATTTGTCTTCTATAACATGCTTCTTGAGCTGAGATGCACAAAGGTGTTTTGTGGTGATTTTTTGCATTCTTTTCAGGCTACTTGGTGTCATAAATGGTCAGATAAATCTTAATTAAAATGAAGTTGGTAGTTATTTTGCAAAAAAAAAATATTGAAATTTGGAGACTAAATACTGCTTGCTTCAATTTCTTGACAAAGTATGCATAGCAATTGAAAAACTTTGTTGAAATTTTTTTAATGAGGATATTTTAAGAATTCAGATATAAGCCCTCTATATACAGATAGCCCTTGACTTATGACAGTATTTTCTGATGCTAAGTGAGACTGCTGTTAAGTGAGTTTTACTCCATTTTACGACTTTTCTTGCCAGGGTTGTTAAGTGAATTATTGTTGTTAAATCAGTAACATAGTTGTTAAATGAATCCATCTTCCCCATTGACATGTCAGAAGTTTGTAAAAGGTATTCACAAGGCCCCAGGACACAGCAGCTATTATAAATATGAGTCAATTGCCAAGTGTCTGAATTTTGATCAAATGACCATGAAGATACTGTGATGATTGTAAGTGTGAAAAACGATCATAGGTAACTTTTTTCATTGCCATTGTAACTTTGAACACTAAATGAACTGTAGAAAGTCAAGGACTACCTGTACTATTAAATTTCCATTGTCATGACCTTTCAGTTGGTAAAACAGCGCCTCATAGAGCAACAATTTTTGAACTAAGGTACCTCAGATGGGCTAACTTACAGTGTGTGTGTTTATGTCCAAAAATCAGGACCCATGATTCCTGAGAGCATTAAATTTGGGAAAGTTGTGGCTGCTTCAGCCCTACTGGGTACCTCTCAAGTAGTTCAAAAATTGTTACTCTATGATGCTTTTATTTATCTTGGTCCTGATGACAGATTGATCATAAATAAATACTAAACACCTAAAAAGAATGCTGAAAATTATTCCCAAACATTTTAATATTCATATTAGAACAATGATAGGTTTTTTGGCTTTTGGTCTCTGTACCCCACACATTGAATTTGAAATGAAGATGGTTTTAGTTTTAGTTTTTAGTTTACTTTATTGTCATTGAACCTTGTACAACGAAATCAAACACCATCTTCAGTGTATATCATGACCATGACCATGAAAATAAACACACACACACACATCCTTCACCCTTCACACATTGAACTGGAGGTATGACACCAAATCAACACTGCGCTATACAGCAGAATTCAATAGAGTTACTGCCCTGGGATAGAAGCTGTTGAGCAAAGTGAAAACTGTCAACTTTGATTCAAGGGCTTGGACAAAAGTGTGGCATTAACCATTGAGGAATTACAACCATTCTAACACACCCAAACCCATAAATGATGGGACAAATGGCTGACAAGCAGTTTCATGTCCAGGTATGACCTACTCCCTCATTAGTCCATGACAAATCAAGCAGTCAACCAATATGAACAAACCTGACTGTGTCCGTAGTATTTGAATTATAATCAAAACTGAATATGAAATTACAGTCATATGTCATTGTGGTTAAGCCGGTCATCATGTGACCCTGTCCTGTTTTATAAGCTTTTTTTGCTGCAATCATTTCATCCTATGGGTAGTTTTTGTTGGAAATCAGAAGTAAACACTGGAAAATGACAAAAAATATTCAAAAATCATGGTCAGTTGACCACAGGATGCCCTAAATGAGCATAAAGGTGAGCCAAGTGCCCCAAATACAATAATGTGAGGTGGGGTAGCTGTCAGAACTTTAAATAGGGTTGTAACAATGCCTGTCTTAATTTTGAATAGTTGCTAAGCAAGCGTCATTAAGCAAAGACTACCTGTAGCATAGTACAAAGAAACAATTGATATTAATAATGAGCAGACTCGGAATTTCTCTCTAGAATAGATAAAATTATTTAATAATTATTCTTTAACAATTATTCTTTATTCAGATATCATATAACCTTGGGGCAAAAGGAGCTTGAATTCTTGTTCTAGGCATAGCAAGGAGTTATTCATTGCCACACCTGACAGCTAGATATTGCCAGTGAGATCAGCAAAGACAGGGAAGTACACTACCCTTGGAAGGATACTGACACAAAGTTTTATGCAATTATTTATTTTCTTGCTTATATTACCTCCTGTTTGTTCAACATATTTATATAAAGAAAGAAATTAGTATTCAGTTTCCACTTGGATTCTAGACAACCATGAATAGAATAGAGAAGGAATGGTACTAATAGAAATCGGGTGGGATTCAAAATCCTAGCAACCAGTTTGCTGCCCAGTTGCTAGGTGGGGGTGACCATGGTGGGCGAGGCCTACTGGAACTTACTGCTTCCGGCTTCTGGTGCGCCTCCAGAGTCTGGGGGAAGCCGTTTTCATCCTCCCAAGGGTCCAGAGGCCTCCCCTGGGCCTCTGGGAGGACGAAAACAGCCTCCCCAGCCTCTGGAGGCCCACCAGAAATAGGCCTGTTTGCCACTTCCGGTTTTTCTGGGAGGGCCATTTTTGCCCTCCCAAGAATCCAGAGGCCTCCCCCGGGCCTCTGGGAGGAAAAAACGGCTTCTCCTGGGCTCTGGAAACCCTCCGGAAGCCGGAAACAGGCCCATTTCTAGACTTCCAGAAGGCCCATTTTCCTGCTCCCAGTGCCTCCACGCAGAGCCTGCATTTATCTTCATTGAAAATGGGCCACGTGGAGACTCCTGGGAGGGGATGGGTAGGAGGAGTGGAGCCAGCTGGTCGGGTGAAATACCGGTTCGATGAACCAGCTGTAACTTTAACATCCAGTTCACCCAAACCAGTCTGAACCGGTAGAATCCCACCCATGATAGAAATGTCTGTGGTATTGCAATACTGTCAGATGGTGCTCCATTCAAAATCCAAGAAAGAAATACTTAGACTCCATTAATTAGATAAAATATATCTTTCATTGGAAGTCAAGTGGTAGCAACAAAAGAATTTTGAATCTGAGAAAATGGGTGCGTAAATCACATATACAAAGTGATGGCAACGTTCCCACCCCCAACAGTTCAATTGGCTCATCCAATTAAAAGTTGTGTGTAGCATCATGTGGGCATCTCCAGGTGGTGATGAGGCCTCTGTCCGTTGACCTTGACATATTTTGATAAAGAGTTGCGGCTGCGCATAGCGTAGGATAGAAGCCTAAGCAAGAACTCCCCCCCCCAACTTATACAATTCTGTTTTGTAACACCTCCAGCTCGCTTCCCATAATCATGTCCCCCTTCCTCCCCCCGTTACTTATGACAGCTGAAAGATGCAAAGCTCTTCAGCTTTGTAATGGAGATGAGCACCGCCCCCTAGAGCCGGAAACTGACTACCACTATGTGCAAGGGGAACCTTTATCTTTACCTTTTATTGTGATGAGTAATGGATTGTAATGAGTAATGGATTCATGTACTGTTACCCAAAGAAAACCCACTTTTATCCAATTTGGAGTAATTTATCCAGATTTGGGAAGAAAACCTTGAAGAAAACCTTGAAGGCTGACAAGTACCTTTTCATTCAGTTTTTTTTTTAAGTATTGTATCATTTCTAAATAATATGTTTGTTTCTTCATAGATGGTGAATTGAATGTTCTTGATGATATTTTGACTGATGCACCAGACCATGATGATGAATTGTACAACCCTGATAGTGAACAAGATAAAAGTGAAAAAAAAGGTATGTTACTTTACAGCTTGGTTGTATTTCCAGAGAACTGGATAACTGGATTTTGGAGCTGAATAGATACGATACCTACTAGAAAATTTACCATTGTATAAAAGGCCTTGCAAGTGGCCTCTTGGCAAGTTTGAAAACTGTTCTCGATATGCAGGAAGTTTTGCTTGTTCTTGCTGAATGTTTTTCTTTTCTTCATTTCCTAAAAGTAATTTGTGTAGCAAATTTCTGGTGAAATATTTTCTGACTCCATCACTCCTGGCTTTTCAAACATTGCTTAATCTACAGCATTTAGAGCAGGGATCCCCAAACTTTGCAAGTTTAAGGCTTGTGGAATTCAACTCCCAGAATTCCTGAGCTAACATGACTGGAGGAGTAATTCTGGGAGTAGAAGTCCACAAGTCTTAAACTTGCCAAGTTTGGAGACCTCTGATTAAGAGTATGGTATCTCAATTCTTCAATCATCTTTCTTTCTACCTTTAACAGGTATGAAATGGTTATTCAAACTTATGCAAAATAGTACATAATTACTATTTCTTGTAAGTAATTACTATCATTTGATAGTAATTTATTATGGCTAATAATTTGAAGTCTTTGAAGGCAGATAGATAAATAGGAAATCTTCTGTTACAAAATGGAAAAAAGAAGCAAAATTCTATTTCAGATATTTCCTATATTTTCCATCTTTATCCAGTAATTTTCACATTTATACCTTAGCTCCCCAAGCTTTAATCCGAGGATTTTCATCATTTGGCTAAAAGTTAATAGTTGCAGAATTATTAATATCAAAAATTTAGATTGAATATTTCTTTATGCTTTGATCTATGCTAAATGAGAAAATGTTGTTTTTTGAAAATGTTTGCAATACATTTTTTTAGCATTTAAGTAACTAATAACTTTTTTTTTTAAGGATCCAAAAGGAAAAGTGAGCAGATGGACATAGCTGAAATTAAAAAACAAAAACCATCTGTACATTCCTCAAGGCAGATCTTACCAAAACCTCCAAGCTCTTCCATTAGCAACAACAAAAGAATTGTGAGCACAAAAGGAAAACCAGCATTAGAATACAAGAGTGAGGATTATCGAAGGTCTGACAGAAGTAAACGTCCAGAAAGCGATAGAAAGATACGTTTGTCAAGCAGCACCTCTAGAGATCCGTATAAGGGACAGCCTGAAAAGGCATGTATGAGGAAAAGGGAGGTTGACAGAAGAGCGAAGTCCTCTACTCCAGATACCTCTGCAGTAAGTAATGGGTTGTAAATCTAGCTGTACTTAAATAGATATTAGTTTTAGCATTTCACTTCCTTGCTTACTTTAGTTTAATTTACTTGATTGTCATTGCACCTCGTACAATGAAATCAAACACCATCTTCAGTGCACATCATGACCATGACCATGAAAATAAACACACACATCCTTCACCCTCCACACATTGAGCCCCTGACACCGCAACAATACTGCACTATATAGCAGAATTCAAAAGAGCTACTGCCGTGGGATAGAAGCTGTTTTTCAGCCTATTTGTCCTTGTTTTTATTATTCTATACTGTCTACCAGATGGTAATAGATAAAAAAAAGGGTTCCCAGGATGAGATGGATCTTTGAGAATGTTTTGAACTTTCTTAAGGTAGCGGGAGCTATAAAGCTCTTCCAAAGAGGGGAGAGGGCAACCAATGATCTTCTGGGCAATGACGTTAACCTTCTGGAGTGCTTTCCTATCTGCCACTGTGCAATTTGCAAACTATACGGAGGTACAGTAAGTTAAAATATTCCCTGTGGTGCAATGGTAGAAAGTCACCAGCAGTTTTTCATTCAGTTGTTATTCTCCCTCGAGCCGCTCGGAGCATCCAGAGAGTGGGATGTGCTTCTGAGTCCTCTTCTTGCAGGCTGAGCTTTAGCTGAGGAAACGCTCTGCCCCCTCACGTGACTCCACGCAGCGTTCCCCCAGTCTTTTGCTCAGCCTCGAAGAGTCAGGCTGTTATCGGAAAGAGCTCCTTGGCTGATTCAAATACGTACTTTATTCTGGCTACTTTCTTGATATCTCAGGTTTGAATCTTCCTTGCCTCCTCCTGCGCATAAGGTCGGGACTTAAGGGGAATCTCCCCTCGTCCCTAGGGGCCAAACGGGCGGGTTCGCAGCGCTTCACGCAACCCCCCTCCCATTATCAGATCGCGTCGCTGCCTCTGCGCTGCCTCATGGCGCGCAACCTTGCTGGATTCCCCCCCACCCAAAACGCCGACCGGGAAGGGCTAGTCGCCCCTTAAGGGCTCCAGGCACGCTGAGCTAACCGGACAAGCCCTCCTCACCGTCCCGAAGGCGCCCCGACATAGCTCAGCTCGCGGCCGCCATCTGGGCGCCGCATCGTGGTCGGGCGCCATTTTTTGTTTCTGATTCTGCTGCTGCGGTGGATGTAAAGTCCCAGACCCCTTGGGTCAGAGCTTAGTTGATTATAGCGATCTTCCTGGCTCGCTCTCATTATTTTGTTGGCCTCCCGCAGCCTTTATCGGGGCGAAGTTGCAGCCTCCCCCCTCCGGTTTTTGTTGTCTGGAGGCCTGCTGCCAGAGGCTTTTCTCTCTAGGCCTCAGGCGTTTATTTGGTAAATCTGGCCTGTACTGTGATACCGTTCTAGTTCCTTTACTGTTACTGTTACTGTTACTGTTTATATAAAAAATTTAAAAATAATAAGAAGAAGAAGAAGAAAAAAAAAAGAAAAAAAATTTATATACAAATTTTTTTGTATTTATATGTATATACATAGATAACCTTCACATACAAATAGCATAAAAAATTTTTATATATCTGTACATATCATATTATATATATACCTTACTGCCTGTTATCACTGTACATATTAAATTCCAAAAGGGGGAGCGAGCCAGCTCAAACCTCACCCGGCCCTATTCGCAGGCCAATTCCAGGCGAGCCAACCGTCCTTTGCTATTATTATTATTATTATTATTATTATTATTATTATTATTATTATTA